GCAGCCCACCTGGAGAGAGGTGGTGTGGGAAAGCTGCAGGGGATGGATGCTGCCAGCTCCGCGTGGCGTTTCCGGCCCTGTGAGAGTGAACGTGCAGTAGCACACTTAATTATGAATGCAGATCTGGGACGCTGTGACGTTATGCCAGCATCTTTAGAGACTGAGGACTTGATGTTTGAAGAGATGTAAACGGGGAGGCTTTCGGGGATTGCCACGTGTTGCCCAGTTGCAGTCCTCGTAGTATTCTTTTTTCCTGTCTTTTGGTCTTATTTCTGTGTATTACCCACCCCTTTCTTGTGAAAAAGAGTAGAAGACCTAGCACAGTTAGGCTGGAAAGGGCGAGTCAGCTCTCCTTCTGGACATTGTGTGGTAGAGGGAGGGTCCTGAAAAACTTGACTTTAGGATGCTGTGGCGAAGCATTACCTTCTTTTCTGGAAGAGGTGGTGATAGTGTTTTGAGGCAGTAGCTTGACAAGCATTTCTTCTTTTGGCAGTAGTATCAGTAAACAGTTCCCATCCCCTTCCCAGCTGCTCAGTTTAGTGCTATCGCCTCTTTTACGTTGGCATAGTTTTTTGTGCAGCTGCATGGCCAATCGGATCAGGGAACTGATCCAGTCAAAAATGATTAACTGTGGTTTTTTAATTCTTTGTGGGTTTTTAAAAAATATACTAAGCAGCAATAAAAAGAAGCATATTTTGCTTTTATTGTTATTTCCATCAAACTAACTCAAGTCTAGTGTTCCTTCATTAATTGGAGGGCTACAGAGTATGTCATAGCATTTTCTTAAAGTTTATATTCTCTTAGCACTGAAAAAATCTTGGAAAATGCATCCTCCCACATCTGTTTCTTCTGATCAAAGTCCATGTCTCAGCATCTGTGAAGTAGTTATCCTTCAAGATTATTCTTCAGCTGGAGCTCATGTTAGGCAAAAAAACAGATGCTGTTAAATTTGTCATGCTGGCAGGGAAGAAAACCTCAAAAGTTGTAAGAGTTTGCCGTAGGGCAGCCTTCATATTCTCACCCGGGACCATGTCTGCTCCGAGAACAGGCTGTGAGATACAAGAGGAGGGAGTTTGCATTTGACGTGCCTCCATGTACGAACGTGCTGGCTGGGGGAGAGGAGGAGAAGCACGGGAGCTGTGAGTGAGTAGTGCTGAGCATTATGGTAGCTATGCTGTTCTTCAGGGTGTAGAAGGTATGGAGTTGAAAACTTCTTGGTGAAGCCTGGTAAACACTGAGCCTTCCTGTTGACAGGGGAAGAGTTGGTCAGGGCAGCATGGGACATCTTCTATCACGGCAGGCAAAGCTGATCGTGATTTCTCTAAGGGTCCAGGAGAACTTCAATATATCCTCTGGCAAGCGCTTTTGAGTTTTTGTAGAGGACAGAGGTGACACTTGTGTCTACATAACCAACACCATAGAGGGAGGAGAGCTCAGAGGCAGGCTGAAGGAGCTGGAGCCCCACTGCACTTGTTTTACACTGTTCCTTATCTGGTACTTTTTGCAGGGAATCTTTTTTTTCGGATCTGCATGACAGCATGTATGAAGTGAGGTGCTTGGTTTGGCAGTGTTTACACTGCAGGGTCAGTTTACAAGCTTGCATTTGACTGCCTTGTAAACAATCAAAGTAGTTTTAAATTTCCTATGTATTTTTATGTCCAAGTATCTATTTCAGTTTGTTTCTTTGCTGTGATATTTTAGAAGAGAGTGCTTTTTACTAGCAAGTCAGACAGGTGTGCCTTCTCAAAGCATCTTACATGTAATTTGCGGGTGCAGTTATGTTTTTTGAAATAACTTCTCCAAAAGTAAATTACCTGTTTTGATTTGTTTCCCCTTTTTAAAAGAGAG